GGGACCGGGTGGATGGGTCACTGGTTCAACCGTCGGGTCGAAGCGGTCGAACCGTGACGTCATAATTAATATTATATAATTAAAAATATAATTATAAATTATAAATAAATAAAAAAATATATAATTATTGAAATAATAAAAAAAAGTATTGCATAATATTTATTAATAATATTTAATAAAGTCATCATTGATAAAAAATAAAAAATAAAAAGTTACTAGTTTTAAATAAATTAAAAAAATTTAACATCCCCTCCAAATAAATTGATTGAATGCAAGATTTAAATTTGGAGGGAAATGAAATTTTCAATTCTCCCTCCAATCAAATATGATTTAAACAATCTGATTGAATCCCACATTGAATTTTTAGGTTCTCTTTGAACAATTTTTTTTCGGGCAAATTACACTAACAATCCCTATAGTTTAGGGCTTGTGTCACTTTAGTCCATGACTTTTCAATTGTAATACATTTGACCTTGAATTTTGAATCTTGTTCCAAATAAGGACAATTAACATATCATTGCTTAATTTCAAGGGCAAAATAGGCAATTTGATAAAATATAAACTAATTTGACAAAAATAAATGTCAAAAAAATAGTTTAAAATTTTTAAAAGTTATTTCTATCCACCAAAAATAAAATTATGTAAAATTGATAAAAATTAATTAAAGTTACATGATTAATTTTTAAAAATTAATTTTACGTGATTATCATCCAAATACATAATAAAAATTAATTTGGTAAAAAAAAGAAATAAATGTCTAAAAGATTTATCAATTTTATATAATTTTATCTTTAGTAGGTAGAAATAATTTTTAAAAATTTAAAAATAAATTTTTAACATTTATTTTTGTCAAATTAATTTATATTTTATCAAATTGACAATTTTGCCCTTGCAAAATGCAATAATATATTCAAATGTCCTTATTTGGAACAAAATTCAAAATTTAGGGTCAAATGTATCACAATTGAAAAGTCAGGGACCAAAATGACACAAGCCCCAGACTATAGGGATTGTTAGTGTAATTCACCAATTTTTTTCCCTATAAATAGGAATAGACTTTCATAATTTCTTCAAGCTTCCAATAAGACTCATTCTCATGAGAGGAGACTCTTGAAGTAACAGTTTTTAGTCAAAATTTTGATATATAATATATATATAAGAAAGAAAAAAAAAACAACCGAGTTGGTCCAGAACCGGCACCGGTTCACCGGTTTTCCCGGTTGAACCACCGGATTTTTCGGTTTTTACAAATAAGGCCGGTTTTTGGCC